GTGGATGTAGTGACCACTCGTGGTGCACTAGTGGGTTTCTGCTTAGTGCGTCTGCGAGTGTGTTCTGTTCCCCTGGAAGATGACTCGCCAAGAGATGTATGTTCCTTTCTATGCACCAGTYCCAAATTTGTATYGAGAGAGCCAGCARCTCTCTCGAATGYGTCCCCCCTTGTTTGTTCAAGTAAAACATTACTGTYGTGTTGTCTGTWATGATGTGGACTACCTGACCCAGAATGACCCTTTCGAAGGAGTGTAGAGCCYTTTCTACTGCAAGAAGTTCCAGTATGTTTATGTGCATGTCTCTTTCCTGCCTTGACCACACACCGTGTGCAATGAGTCCCTGGGAGTGTGCTCCCCATCCCATAAGGGAGGAATCTGTGACGATAATCCTGGTAGGATATAGATGGTGGAATTGGAACCCAGAGCAAACCCATGCTTCGTCCTCCCAACTAATTAGAGAGTCGCGGACCACGGGTGGGAGGAAGAGCTTCAACTCTGGACTGCTCGTCAGTGGGTCGAATACTGTCAGGAACCATGACTGTAGGGTTCTCATTCTGAGTCTCGCATAATGGTTGACTGAAGTAGTGGCTGCCATGTGACCTAGTAATACCTGGACCTTTCTTGCCGAAATGCAAGATGAGGCTCTTGCTTGTTTGACGAGAGCTTGTAGGTTTGCAAACCTGTCCCTTGGAAGAAACGCTCTCTCCGAAACGGAGTCCAACATGGCACCGATGAACTGGATTTTGCGGGTGGGCGTTAGGACTGACTTCTCCCAGTTGACTACGAGGCCCAACGACTGGAGAAGAAACAAAATGGTAGACACTTGGTCCTGCAACTGCTCACGCGATCTGGCTACTACCAGCCAGTCGTCAATGTATGGGTACACAGTTATTCCCTTTGTCCGAAGACATGCAGCCACTACAGACATACATTTTGTGAAGACTTGCGGCGCCGTCGAAAGTCCAAAGGGAAGAACGTTAAAACAAAAAGCATTTTGTCCTATCATAAATGAAAGATATCTACGGTGTTGAGGAGCTATCGATATATGGAAGTATGCATCCTTTAAATCTATTGTGACAAACCATGCTCCCTTTGGAATAAGGGGTAAAATTGAGGTTAGTGTGATCATTCTAAACTTTTTTGGAGTTATGTGGGTATTTACGGCTCTGAGATCTAGAATCGGACGTAGACCACCTCCACGTTTATTAATCAGAAAGTATTTCGAGAAAAAATAGAACTTAACTTTGTCAACACTCACTGGAGAAATTGCCCCCTTTCCCAACAACATATTTACCTCCTCTAAGAGAGGAGTGGATTCTTGTGTTCTCTTAACATTGCCCACTCTAGGTAGGTCATTAAATTCTATACAGTAACCTGAACCAATAATAGATCTAACCCATTTGTCCGTGGTGATATTACACCAGGCATCGTAAAACATACTCAGTCTATCCCCAAACATAGGAACATTTGACTTCAGAGGATAAGAACTCGTTAACACATTAACTTCAACATCAAGTCTATTGTTGCCCAACAGGGGAGTTATACTGTTGGTGTTAATTTCCAGTTCTGCGTCGTCAAAGACGCTTCTTCTGGTTAAATTGGCCCTTGGGTTTGTTTTGATATGGCTGTGCCCTATTCCTGGGAAAGTATGGATTCCTTTTCCCCCCTTGGAACCTGGATGATCCATTGCCCCTATTCCTAAAGGGGCCAGTATAGTAATTGCCATATGATCTACGGTAACTATTAGATTGCTGTTGCCATCTAGGCCTTTGTTGCTGGAAGGGTTGCCACGTGTAGCTGAATTTATTAGCGGCTTGACGGACATCTTGCTTCTCTTTTATATTGACATCAGTGTCTGGGTTGAAAAGCCCTGCATCGTGAAAGGGAAGGTCTTCTGCTAAAGCCTTCCCTTCTTCAGAGAGATTGGACGCACGTAACCATGCGTGCCTTCTAATTGCAGTCGCTGTCGCAAATAAATTTCCTGCTACCTCTGCTAGGTGTTTAGCAAAGTCTTTTTGAAATTTAGAAAGCACCATTGCCTCCGCTTGGAGAACTTTGGGTAGGTGTTGATCATCCCTAGGTAGAGATTCGATACTAGGTAAGATCTTTTTCCATAAATAAGACTGCTATCCACTCATGTATGTTGCAAAGTGGGCCATGCGGGTAAACAACCCAGAAGCCATATGTGCCTTTTTGCCTAAAGAATCAATCCTCTTGCCCTCTCTATCTGGAGGTGTAGTTAGGGTGCCCTTAGGGAGCTTTGACTTTACCACTTCAGCTACTACCGTGTTTGGTTTCGGGGGAGTAGCAACCCATTTAAATGCAGAAACATCAATTCTATACATGGAATCCAGCCTTCTAGGTACAGCTGGAACCATAAAGGGGGATACATCTACAATCTTAGCAAGTTTCAGTAAATATGGCAGCGCTGGCAACGACATTGAAGGGGAAACATTTTGTTCTTTGGAAGGAAACATTGGGTCATCAACATGTTCAGGTGGTTTTGGAGCTGGGATTCCAAGCTCTTTTATCATTCTTTCCATTAGTGCATTAAATCTACTAAAGTCTGTTAGTTGAACACCATTGTTTTCCTCACCCCCCATTTGAATTGTATCTGGGGAGTCAGAATCTGATGCCGTGTCATTCAGTTCAGTTGTTGCAATATCTGGTGCAAGTACAGGTGCTGCTTGTACACTCATCAAGTTCTGGACATCATTTGATTGAGTAGATGTAGAAGCTGTAGCAACAGCTGCAACATGTAGTTCTTGTCCTCTAACTTGGTTGCTCTCTATAGGGTTTCCATCATGTGCGGCCCCTTGAGTTGCTGTCGCCTCCTGCACTGTAAGCCTTCTGTAGGTTATAGTATTATCATTATCATTAATAATAGGCAAAGGAGTAACTGCAGTATCTTGTACTATACGTCTCCCATCGCCAGGTCTCATGTGGGTTACATTATTACTATTATTGATATCAGTAGGCAGAGAAGTAGCGGTGTTTTGTCTTTCCACATTTGTATCTTGTCTATTGAGTAACATAGGGGTTTGCCTCTGCACTGATGGTGGTCTCGACAGTGGCTGTTGTATGAACATCAATTGGCCTGAAGGACCCATTTGCCAAAATCCTGGAAAGGGCATTGCTCCAGGGCCATATCCCCTCCAGTGACTTGAGGATCTAGCAGATCTGGAGCGGTTGTGCCTCCTCGAACGCCTAGAAGAGGAGGAGGTGGATGAGGAAGAGGAGGAGGATCGCGAACGGCGGCCCCTCCTCGATGCCGATCGGTACCGCCTCCGCCTGGATCCATGGTGTCACGATGGGGACCTCGAGCGTCTAGGACGCTTGCTAGGGCGGCGAAATGTGAAGGCGGGCCATGATCTCAGGGAGGATGTTGTCGTCCCTAGCGCCGCGACGCTCGGGCGATTCTCTCCCATCTGTGCCTCTTCCCCACCTCTTAGAGGAGGTTCTTGTCCCCTTGGGTCGGCAGCGCCTTCCGATACCGGGCGAGGCGGGGCCTGTTCATCAGACCTGGAAGCGGGAGGCCCATTATACACGCCCTCGAAGGCGTAGCTAGTTGAGGGGAGGGCGGGATTAGCCTCAGAGGTGGAGCCAGTATCGGGAGTGAACGGAGCCACCGCGCAAACTCCTCCTTGCGCGTTTGGGGACAGCAGCGGCATCGGAGGGGTCAGACCATTGGTCATCGCCCCTCCATCAGCATGTACCCGAGGCATTTCTGAAGGGATTGCAGTTGCTGCATTGGAGCCTTCGATGCCTTTAGCGGCTTGGCTCAAGTCTCTCTTTGTTTTGTTTGGTCTTTCTCCCTCACGATCCACATTGGAGGGTATTGCTTTCTTTGCCGGAGCTTTTTTCAGCGCGGCGGTTTGGCGGCCATTTTGGAGGCTGTTATTTTTGATTTTTTTTAACCTTCTTCTTTCCCCCTAAAGGTAAGGAAGGTTGCTCACGTGGAGTTTCTTGCGGTTGAGTGGGTTGTGGCCGCAATGCTTTCTCATAAAGCGCCGCTCTTAAACGGGATAATCTATTTTTCCTCGTTTGAGGAGTAAAGGCAGCGCAGATCTCACAAGGCTGAGAGAGATGTCCCTCACCCAGGCACTCCAGACACAGCGAATGTCCATCTGTGTCCGGAAGAATATTTGGACATTTCATACATTTTTTAAAGGCTGTGGTAGCCATTATACAGAGTAATAAATATTGCTTTAACTATTCCTTGTAGACAATCTTGTTGTTTATCTACTGTAAGGTTCTTTCGCTGTTTGCTTTAGCGCGGAAAGAAGAGAACTGAGTAACGGCCACTGCCCCGGGCTATATATAGGATGAGGGAGGGGGCGCGTGGCCAGAGGGAGTCTAAACGGTCATTTTACTTTTCAAAAGGTTCCGATCGCTGAACTGCGCAGGCGCAGAGTTACCATATGTGCGATTCACAGGATTTACGACAGGAAAAGCACTTCCAGAGCTCCAGTTGATTCCAACAAAAAGCAGAGCTGAGTGGACCAGGATTAATTAATGGTATTATCAATTTGTTTGAATGGCAAGCATGTTATCATGCCATTAGTTTCCCTCGTTCAGACAAAAGACGGGTCACATACAGCCCAGCCAACAACTCTCTCTACACCAATGCTTCTCAACCTGTGAGTCCCCAGATGTTTTGACCTTCAACTCCCAGAATTCCTAACAGCTGGTAAACTGGCTAGGATTTCTGGGAGTTGTAGGCCAAAACACCTGGGGACCCATAGGTTGAGAACAACTGCTCTACACAGTAACATACATGGACAAATATACCAGTCTCTCACAAATTTAAAAAGCGACGTTTCAAACCTTTCTTTATCTTGAAGTGAGCAATATATTATCCTTTGTGTCAAATCCAGTGAGCCATTTAAAAAATTCAACAAAGTCATAACATGCAGTGATGCTGAACTATTATCTGCAAACTCTGTAACCCATCCAGGAAAAAGCTGAGAAAGAAAGAGCTTTTGTAAGCAGCTGCTCACCTATATGGCCTCCACTGTTGTGACCAGCACATTCAACTTCCTCTGGATGAAGTGTAAAAGCATACAGAACAAAAGCCAAGAAATAAAGCAGAACAGTTAGAAGCCCAGCCAAAAATGCAAAAGAAGAGTTACTTAAAATGACAGCTGTACAAAGCATAGCGTCAAAAGTCTTCAAAATTCCAATGCTTTTAAATAAATCAGTGTATTGTTCTACAGTTGAGCAAGAGATTTTAGCGTAAAGCAACATGCAAACTTTTCACCTTTTCACCACCTTTTTATAATACAAAATATTTTTAAAGGCATTCTATTTTAAATTTTATTGCAAGATAAAAACAGGTTAGCTGAAATGCAGAGATAAAGACATGTGTAAAGAATATTAAAGAGAGGTTTTGTGTTTGGCTCAATGGATCAGACAGAAAGTTGTTTTTTTAAAAAAAAAATAACCATAATCTCTCTGCTTGATATAAAATAATCCTGTTATTTATATTACTATGCCAGACGTTTCTATCAAAACAAGTTATAACTTTCTACATTATTAGAACAAGAAATTAGTGAACTGAAGCTGTTACACGTTTGCTGTGATTATTAACAGCGAAACAAGCTATATCGGGGAGGGGGGGGGGAAACAAATATCTGGCCTTGATCCAACTTCATGGTCATGCTACAGTGCAGGTGCAACCAACTTTCTTTCCTGTCCTCCCATTGGCAGTGGTCAATAGTGTCTGAAAGCTCACATTGCAGAGTTTCCCAGACCTTTAGAGCAGTTTTTAAGAGTACAATAGCAAATTGAGAAAGGGATCCAAGGCACATTCCTTCAGGTCTGCAATAAACTGGGCCTTTAAAAATAATTTGAATAGATTATTTCACAGAGAAATAACTCTATTGGAATGCTTTGTACAAACACACCTGCTTTACTATGTAATGTTTATTTGTGAACATTTGTATGAATTAGAACAGATTTTACAAAGTCAGAAAGCTCAATCTGAGTACAGAAAGATGTTTCTACAAACTAGGTTGGTTGAGTCCCCATATCCTGATATGATCCTGGTATGGAAAGAAGGAATAAAAATAAGGACAGGGATGGATACCACACCTACCAATGGGATAATACATGTATGACCCCATGTCCTACCCCACAGAGATCTCCCTTCATGCATGCCAATTTTAAAGGCAGATGTCTGCTGCTCTTTTAATTCTCAAGACTGGATTGACATGCCAAGAACTAAATAACTGGCTCTCGATAATAAATGTACTGTTATATCTGCAGTTGATATTCTAATCACTTTTCAGCCTTTTGGCTAGAGAGCATTTAACTTCTTTTAAAGCACTGCTTCTTAAACTGTGTGTACTGATCCCAAATGGGGTTCTCTTAGCTCAATATTGGGTTCCCAAAATTGCCCAACAGTAAAAGATTTCTGAACTTCACCTAATGGCTTTTTTAGACATTTACATGAATCTGTTGTGCTGTGTTTACTGAGCATGCTTCAGATGTACTTCAAAAAAAGAAAAATCAGCCTGTTTGGCAAGCCTTGCAAATGCTTGATTTTTATACCTATTTTATATACCTATATACCTGGGGTCATGAAAAAAAATTTTATGCCAAAAGGGGTCATGAGTAGATAAGTTTAAGAAGCCCAGTTTTAAAAGAGAGATCTTTTAGTTCACCTAGTTTTTAAGCTATCTCTGTGAGCCAGAAAGGGAACTTGCACATGTACCTTCCATTTCTTCTGAAAGGAACAAAAATGAAAAATAGGAGGCAAAACAGACCACGTGGACCAAGGACACAATGGAAGGATAAAGTGGTTGAAATGTAGGAGAAAACCACCTACCACACTCAACTGCTTCCTCAGCTTAGAAGAGCCAAAAGAAATAAGCAGAGATGATTGACATTTTAAAACAATATTTTTAGCAAATAGAGATAAAATGGGGGGCGGGGGGGGGGAGCCATGCAGCTGAGCAGCATAAGCAACACATTACGAGCATACGTTGCAGTAAATCTGAATCAAGAGGTACGTTTATAGCTTTGTATGAAAAGTCATCTATACTATAAGTCTGTTTCTTCTTGGGGGGAGCGGGGAGGCAACCACTTTCAAAACATCCAGAGATAGGATGGTAAATTTGCACTGCTTCTCCCCCCTCTCTTAGGGCCCTTCCACACAGCCCTATATCCAAAAATATCAAGGCAGAAAATCCCACAATATCTGCTTTGAACTGGGTTATCAAGGATTTTCTGCCTTGATATTCTGGGATATAGGGCTGTGAGAAAAGGCCCCCACATTATCTAAGTGTGGACCCAGATAACCCAGTTCAAAGAAGATATTGTGGGATTTTTGCCTTGATATTCTGGGATATAGGGCTGTGTGGAAGGGCCCTTAGTCAAAGGGAATCTACATCATAGTTTATCATTGTGTTGCACTGCAATCCAATATCATTATTAGTGATTTGGGTGGACTTCAATCTTTTTCAAAATGATTTTAAACTTTAGTTTCAAATCCTAGGTTGAAAATTCACCCTGGGTGATTAATGCTACAAAAAAAGTGTTACGGAAGAAAAAGGCATATAAAAGAAGGGGAGTGAGCACAAGACTACATTGCCAGTTCTAGAGCCCTTAATAACGTCAAGCAATAGAAAAATCTTACATTTAAGTCACCTGGCTAGTAAAAGTTTGTCTATATGAAAACGTATTTCAAATATTCAAATTACGTTCAGTATGTGGAAGAAGAGCTACATTATTTCAAAATAAGTTTTTGTAAAAAAAAAAACCCACATAATTTTATTGAATTCTAAGATTCATTTAGCTTTACTACAAATTAATCCTTCCTTCCTCAGTAATATTACCCTATCCCTTTCCCCTTGGTCTACACTATCATTAATTTTCTTTGGTTTCTTTTCTCTGACTGTTGGCCCACCAAACACCTCCCCTACAATTTATTTTAGTACCACTTCAGAGGATGTACTCCTTTAACCAAATAGTATTTGGTTAATACTGGCAGCTAATATAGATATCAAATTACACTCCCCATAAATACTTCACTGAAAAGAAAAGATATTATATGTTGTATGTTTTTCAAAATAAGACCATCTCCTGATGGATGAGAGTGATTCTTCCAAACATTCTAAAGATCCATGTCACTATTAGACCAATGTACAAACAAGGGCTTCAGGGCAGTGTGCCAAGTTGCTACATGCTCGTGATTGGGTTTAAAGAAAGAGGCATGATCATATACAGCGTAGCTGAGGTGTGACTTCTTGATCACATCATTCTATGCAACAGTTCCATTAAATCAAGAGTATCAATTCAAGACATTCTTCTACTAAATCAGCATAATCAAGATCATGGAATGTGTAAGAACAAATCAAGAAAGTAAGAGAGATCTTTGGTAGAGAGTTTAACTTGCAAATGTTTATGGCTAAAACATTTTAAAATGTACATTAAATAAAGCTATACTGTTAAAACATTTATCCAATATATTATCAAAGCAAAAGTGTTTTTATATAATGGAGAACATTTAGGCAAAAAAATACTGAAAATCAGTAAGTACATTCTTCTGCTAGGTGAAGCAGCAAATCAGAAATGAAGTCTGGATTAATGCTGCCCTTAAAACAGCATATACCAAAAGCTTCCGACAGTTGAGGGCAAGCAGGTAATCATAGGGCAAAAGCAAAATTTCTTTTGTAATAATGATACTCGAGAAGATATTCAATGCCAGGGTAAATGAAATGGAAGATGCTTTTGACTTCCCGACCTGTACAGAGGGTGCCTCACTTATAACACAGAAAGAGCAGGCTACAGAACTTCAAATTTGTAATCAGTTATGTAACTTTGTTACAGGGTTGCTGTGAGTTTTCCGGGCTGTATGACCATGTTCCAGAAGCATTCTCTCTTGATGTTTCATCCACATCTATGGCAGGCATCCTCAGAGGTTGTGAAGTATATTGTTGCACATTGTAATTTCACTTTTTGACTACCGCACAAAATAGGTACTGAACACATTTCATCCTTAAAATAATTCAAATAAATAAATTAGGTTGCCTTTTTTTCCAAAGTCATGGATGTGAATCATGGCACCCGCCATATGTTGTTGGACAGCAAGCAGGAGCAACCCTAATATGAGCAGTCAATGGTGAGGAATGCTCAGTTACAGTGTTAACGCCTAGCAAGCCTAATAGTTCCTATCCCTTGTTTATAACATTTTAGTATGAACGTATCACAACATGCTGTGAATACCTATCTACTAGCATAAAACATGGAAGTATAAGTTTCGTCAATATTTTTGCTCCTGTGTACCTCATTTCATTTAACCTTTATACATTTCCTTAATCAATACATTTAAATTTATACTTTCCCCCCCTTTCTAAAACATATGCTTCCCTTCTCCTTCTGCACTACTTCCATTGTTTCAAGGCTGAAGTTAAAGAAATATGATTATCATTTAATTTGATGTATATTTTAATATATTTTGCTGGGATTACTGAAACTTTATTGTACTTCATATGACAACTGAAGTTTCTCAAGTCGCTTCTGACATGATAAAAAATTGTGACAATTCCAAATTGATTCTACAAGGAGTTGCACAACCTTTTCTGCCCTGAGAACAGCACTGTATGTTGAATTAGAGGTTGCACATGAACATATCTACACACCTCAAGAAACACGGTCATCTTGACTGACAGCAGAGGAAGAAAAAATTCCATGAAACTGGCAGGAAAACAGATGGGGAGAGAATCTGGTGCTGATAGCTGGGTATAATTAAAAGATTTGGGGGCCACACAAAACTCCGAGAGATGTACCCACAATTCACAATGCAACGTAGAATTTTTTATATATAGCATATTGGCTTTATATGATTCAAACTTTAGAAGATACTAACTTTGATTTAGCAAAGCAGGTGAGTATGTCCAGGATACATCTGTACCAATTTTATGTATGTATTTTGCCACTAGGAATAAATAGTGGAAATGCAGATAGTAATCAACCATTTGTAATCATTTTTAATAACCATACATACATACATACACACAAACACACACCTTCCAGTATTTATTTTTCCCTTGCAGTAAATATTACTTCAATAAGGTCTAGTTTCTCAATGTTAAAGAAAACACTTTTCTCTAATGATATTATCCACAGACTTGGGCCCATGATTTCTGTTTGAATTTCATTTTAACTATGATGAATCATATGTGAGAAGAGTGAGATTTCTAATGCTTCATAGCAGACTTACATATTTTTCTATTGGAAATTTTCAAAGGCTGAACCGGTACATCTGATTTTCTCAAAGCAAGTCTCCTATAAAATAGTTTAGGGGAGGAAGAGAAAGGAAAAGAAACAGACATGATTTAATTGCCATTATTAGTCTGGAATTAACAGATCCATTTTCCTAAATAACACACTATTTTCATGGCCTCCAATCTTAAATCCTAATTTGTTTTGTTCCTTTTAAATTTTCCAGGTACAGTTGTAGTTCTTATTCCAGTATAGTCCACATTAGTCTTCTGCATTTGTATAGAATCACTATCCATTTGTTTGTTTCATTTGTAAGGCCCCGTTTTCGTTTTCAAGTGCCTCTCCCGAGAATGGGCGCCTTTCAGAATGAGCATTTTCATCCCAGGGCTGAAAAAACGAGTATTTTCATCCCATTGGTGGCAATGGGTGAGCTTCCCACACTTGTCTTCCCTTCAGTTTTAGGCACTGGCAGGCGTGGGTGTTTTGTGGGCCTGCATGCCACACACACACACACACCACACACACACACACACACACACACTCTTTCCAAGGTGAGTGCATGTTTGGCTTGCAGCCCAAAGTGCCCGTGCCTGCCAGGGCCTGCAGCCGAGCACCGAAAATCAGGCGACCGAATGGTTACCGTTCCCACTTTCCTTTCATTTCCGTACCGGGGGGGGGGGGGTGCCGTTTTGTGCCATCTGAATGAAACACACGGTACAAAAACACAAATTAAACAGCTGAAATGGTTACTGAGCCCATGAATAGTCCACATGTCAATCTAGATAAGAAGTCAATATACGATCACTGTGATTTTTTTTCTTGGAAACTGGATTACCAATGCCCTATCAGGTTTTGCAGTTAGAGACCTAATCAGACAACTAAGGAATTCCAAACTATTGGGGTCAATGATTATCGAAGTTCAGATATTCTATCCCAAGACAAGTCTGAAAGTCTATTTGACTTGTGTTTCATGTGTATAGCTTTAACAATTGTACCAAATTCATAACTTTTTAAGTATTTGGGGGGGGGGGGATTAGCTTGGAAAAAGCTCACCTTTCTTGGAAATGCTTTGAAGGAATTAAACCTGCTCTGGGATTGGCATCACCTTCAAGCTTGGCTTGCCACCAGGTTGCATCATCCTGGCTCATAATCTGAAGAATATCACCTTTCCTGAAAGGAAGTCCAGCTTCTTTACAGGGAATTGCTTTATCATCAATGGGATCATAGTCAAACAGAGCTTTCATGAAGATCTGGAAAAAATGCCTTATTTATAATGAATGTCTTCATATAACCTCAACTGCCAAACAAACATATGTTAAAATGGTTGTTATTGTTGTCTGCCTTCAAATCAGAATTTATTCAGAAGGAGTTTTCCACTACTTTTCTTTGAGGCTTAGGGCATGTGACGTGTCCAAAAGCAACCATTAGGTTTCTGCGGCTGAGCAGGGATTCAAACCCTAGGCTCCCAGTGTATTAGTCCACCACTGACAGCACTACACCATGTTGATTCTCTCATGTTAAAATATAAGTATTTAATATTACAGTTAGATGTCATCCATATGAAATAACAGAACACATATTCTTTACATATGTATTATAATTTACCATCCCAGTAGAAGCCTTCATTCAAAGCAAACAAGTCTTTACCTTGCCTTCTTTAGAAGTGTTTTCTTCTTTGATGCTGGGTATAATTTTAAATGTAATGGCTCCTTGTGATTGTGACTACAATATATATGAAAAACAAATTAAATCATTCAATAAAATCTGAGGAAAAGCAAGAAAGAAGACAGAACTGATATAACTTGCATACGTCATGAGCTAAACTGTCGTAAGCAACACCATAGTTCTCCAACCTTGTACAGTTTTTTTTAACAAAAATGGTCTGATCAATTTGGTAGATTAGTAAACAAAACAAATGTTTACTTTCAGTGATGCTTTTCTCTTTCTTGTGTAACACATATGAACTATTGACACAGACTTGCTAGTTTGGTGATAAATGGGTTTTCACTTTTTTAAAAACCCTTCTCCTTCTAAAACTGAACCAACTTCAAAATAATTTGCAGTATGCATGGGAATTGTGTCAGCCAGACATAAAAATTTAAAGTTTTAAAGGAGAGGAGGCACAGCGTGACCCTCCATATATTGCTGTAGTGAAAACCCCTGTACTCTCATCAATAGGGGTACTGCTTAGGACTGAGGGAAGGTACAGTCAAAATATACCTGGAAAGCTACACTCTACATCCCTGTTTGAAAACCTCTTTTAGTCTTGCAGGGAAAAAAATCACAAATACTTGGTTTCTGATTGCTGTTTAGATTGGACTAGCCTTTACACAAGGGTATCTTCTCCACGTCCAACCACAAAATTTACATCCTTTCAAGTGTGATATCTCAAGCAACCCTTTATTCATTTAGCAAACAGACTTCTGGAGCTGGGTCCAGGCAATGTGCATTTTGCCTTCTGTTTAGAATATTCAGAATTTTGATGAAGAAGCTAAAGCCTTTCTTTTATGCATCAGGAAATTCTGCTGTTCTGCCTTTTTTTCTTTTTAAGTAACAACAGATCTCACTCAACACTAACAAGAGTATAGCAAACCATAAGATAACATGAATATGGCTTTTCATGAGCCATGCATTATTTAGTAAATAATTTATTTATATTGACATGTTATGTATATATATTACATTTATAACCTACCAGAATTTGTATAATTTCTTCGGGTTTTTTATCATCTACAGGAATTCCATTAACTTCCTTAAGTTCATCACCAACATGAATCAAACCTATGAAACAGAAGTTATTATCAGTTAAAATATTTTAAATATAATAGTGCTTATCTAACATTCTTTCAAATCACAATTTATCCAACTCTACAAAACATCTGTTTCTCTTCCCTCCAGTTGTACTCCTCTACTCAGGGTTTGTGGGCGTGAATACACACTCACACAACCTTACATTCAAAATCACTTCAGTGGATGGGAAGTCATGGATCTCTATTTCCTTGTTCCCTCCTTTCCCTAGCAGTCTACCAAAAGGCCTCTCCTGATAGCTACAAACTGAACCACAACTCAAAAAAAATATGTGAGTTTCCAGTGCAAAAAGTTGTTACATGATAGACACTAGTGAGTCTTAAACCTAATAATGGTTTAAATGAGTGAAAGTAAACTAGGATGCAACCACCTTAGTTTTGCTCAAGTAATTTAAAATCCAATCAATCTTCAATATCCACAATCACAATTAAGAAGGTCTTACCACTTCTATCTGCAGCTCCTCCTCGCATTATCCGAGCCACAATAACAGCTCCAGTATGTTCATCCCGCTTAATAGTAGCCCCCTTAAAATGAATTCAAACATTGATGTAAATTTAATGCTGGACTGCACTGAACAGTTTTTCAAAAGAAAGTGTTCAGTGACTTGAAGAGGTTATTTTAGACTCCAACTATAATCTTTGCTCATGAAGGTTTCAGGGCTTTCTTAAATTTTCAGGATTTTTATATGCAGTTTAACTATTGCATCAATAAGCAGCACATATAAAGAAATATAAAGCATGAAATATAAAGAGGTTTTCTACATAGACTGCATTATATGCTTCCTTAGGACAGTGTTTCTCAACCTTCCTAATGCCGTGACCCCTTAATACAGTTGCTCATGTTGTGGTGAGCCCAAATTATAAAATTATTTTTGTTGCTATTTTGTAAGTGTAATTTTGCTACTGCTATGAACTGTAATGTAAATATCTGATATGCAGGATGTATTTTCATTCACTGGACCAAATTTGGCACAAATACCCAATATGCCCAAATTTGAATACTGGTGGGGTTGGGGGGAGATTGATTTTGTCATTTGGAAATTGTAGTTGCTGGGATTTATATTTAACCTACAATCAAAGAGCACACTGAACTTCACCAACAATGAAATTGAACCAAACTTGGAACACAGAACTCCCATGACCAACAGAAAATACTGGAATTGTTTGGTGGGCATTGACCTTGAGTTTTCGAGTTGTAGTTCACCTACATCCAGAGCGCACTGTGGACTCAAACAATTAGAGATCTGGACCAAACTTGGCACGAATACTCAATATGCCGAAATATGAACACTTGTGGAGTTTAGGGGAAATAGACTTTCACATTTGGGAGTTGTAGCTACTGGGATTTATAGTTGACCTACAAGCAAAGAGAATTCTGAACCCCACCAACAACAGAATTGGGCCAAATTTCCCACACAGAACCCGCATGACCAAGAGAAAATACTGTGTTTTCTGATAATCTTTGGCAACACCTCTGACACCCCCATGGGTAAATTTGAAGTTTTCCCGTGCAAATATAATTAATTGACCCTAAAGTTAATTCATTTTGCAGCACTACTTTGGAAAAACACATTGGGGGAAAGTAAAGAATTTTAAAAGTGAAACATTTCATACATTAGTAAAATGGTTATTATAATTATAGAGTAAAACAACAGCAACAAATGCAGCAAGTGAAGACCTATTAAGATAAGTGTGGAGGTATTTAAGAAAGAACTATCATGTTTGTTCACATAAGAAATTACTACCATTAAGGCTTTCTATAGGTCACTTACTTCTCCCTCATAGCTTAATGACTGTTACTAATCCACACCAAACTTCCCTTAATCTTTTTCAGCCATTTTCCTCTTCCAGCATGTCCCTTTTCCAGTTCTAAATACTCCTCACATATAACCCAGTTAAATTTGTAACACTTATTGATTCATGCTAGCACCTAACCCACAGTGATCTTCCCAAGCACACATCTTTCTGGATAAACTACCTATATTTACTCTCTTCATTTTCTTTGCAAGCGTTTCTTCAAACCAACAGAAGTTACTTCTAGTGTAAACACAAATTAATCTGGGGAATGACATCCACAACTGTCAACTTCAATAGCATCCACTAGCTTTTACATCAGTGAGGTGACAATTCCTTTCCCACCCTCAGCATGAGGGAGGGGAAGCACTTTGCTCCCCTACAGTGAAGGGAGTCCTGGCCGGGACTTCTTGTGGGCAGGGACAGTGGAAGCACACTCCCCACTTTGCTCATTCCTTCGATGACGCTGACCCACCCGCCCATATCCTCAACAGTATACTTTGCAAGGGTCACCGATGGGGCCGGATATGAATTCCTCCCCCCATCTTCTTGGGGGGGGGGGTTGCTTACACTACACTGATTAATCCATGGCAAATTGGGTGAGTGGGTTCTAAATAGCCTTTATATGCATAAAATAGAAATAGGTACACATCGGTGTACACCACAGGAGAGGTGGGATCGATGATGAATTCTCCACCTGTTTACCTAATGGGCCCCCTTGGGAACCTTCAGGTTGCATCTGGGGCCTGTGGTGTCATGTCCATTGTTTGAGGATGAGTTGGTCTCTGGTGGCCACTGCCTCATTTTATGATACAACAAATTCAAGTGTAAGTTCAAGTTCATGTTTATGCCCTTAAATTGATTGGCAGATCACACAGATTTTGATATGTAACATATAATAAAAAGGTGCCCATAGTTAACCCACACTGTTGTGTTATCTCATGATTTCACTGGTGGGAGAGCAAATCCACTGCATGTTTTACTTTAAAAGGCCCATCTCTTTTGATAGATGCATTAAGGTTCTAAAACTTGGGAATTGATAAGAAGGAAATAACAATACTGAACTAAACATACTTCAACTATTACTGTTTGTTTTTTTTAAACAACTTACCAGTGGTTCTCTGTTTTTCACAAGTCTGATTATTTTCACAGAATCTTCATCATCATCAATATTATCAGGCATGGGGGGTAAGACAGGATCATAGTTTTTTTGAGCAACAGTATCATGCACAGAAAGCAAAGCCTGGGAAAAGAAATTAGATTCAAAATAATCATTACTATAAACAAATCCTACTAGATTTGCTTTTTGTACTTTATGGAAGCTAAGGAGGGTCCGCCCTGTTTAGTCCTTGGATAGGAGACTGTCAAAGATTACTAGATGCTGCAGGCTCTATTTCAAAGGAGGAACTGGCAAAATCATTTCTTATGTGTTGCCTAGGGAAACCTAATTTAAACCATGTGATTGCTGCAAGATTAGAAAATATTTAATGCCAACTGAAAATTGGGGCTACCAGTTGTGATGGCTACTACTAGACATGATGGATACATTCCTAAATATAAGAATGCTGTTACATTTATGTCTTGTTTGTCAATTTCTCAGAAGCAAATAGTTCGCTACTTTGGTCTGATTTATCTCTGAAAGCCTCCTGAAAGATAAAAGGCTACATATATGTTTCTTTTTGAAGCTCTTGGAAAGTTTTCTTCATTTCCAGATTCATGATTTCAAAAGGAAAACTTATATAGGCAGCTTTCGAAAGTTACTTTGTTTTACCTACAGTTCTATGTGCATGATTCATTAATGTAAACATGTCCCATATTTAGAACTTTAAAGGAGGTATGATTTAAATTCTTATGCTACCTAAATATAAATATTGACATTCAACTAAATTCTTAGACATGATCTAGCTGGAAATGGTTACTGAGAAACCCTTTGCCATGTCTAGCTGCAGTATAATACTTTTCAGATGAAGGCATTAAGCATTCTCCATTTCACAACATACAGTTCAGTAAGAAAACAGTAAAATCAAATTCAAAGTTTGAGAAAGTTGGGGGTCACTGTTGTTATTATTTGAACAATCAAAAGAACACACCAGATTTGATTTCTTTCACATCTTCCAAATAAACCACACACACACACACACACACACACACCAAGCAGATACTGCAATATGACTATCAAAATATTGCTCCCAGTACAGTAATCATATTACACCTCTTCCTCTTGACCATAGCATTTTTAATGTTGTACATTACTTCCTCTAACAAAAAGGCAATTTCCTGTCCTGAAAATATAGTTTTAACATTTTACACCCACCAGTTTGAACTGATTGATTTTCCTGTCACTGTTAGCTATTCAGAAATAGTAAACACCAAGCTAGTGACTTTTTTTTTTTTTTGCACCTTCAACTTCCTTTTTCCTCTTGTTCAGGGCAGGAACCTCAAGAGACATTTGGGGCTGCTGCATTGCTCTTAAAAGTCCACACAAATATGCAGCCACTTAAAACCCTGTGGTTAAAGTATGAATGTTCTTTTGGATAGTATTTCTTTTCCCGGTATTTCCAAAATCAGCATTTCATTCTTTAATAGATTACATTTCAATTTTATTCAAGCATGTTTATTAATTTCATTTATCGTGTCAGGGGCAGACCAGACAGTTGCACTGCATTTTTTAACAAACAAACAAACAAACACACAAACACACAAACAGACAAACAAAACACAAAGTTTGCAAGCTAGGTAGTTGATGAAATGTCCTTTGACCAGTAGCCGGCCACTTGGAGTGCCTCTGGTGTTGCTGCAAGAAGGTCCTCCATTGTGCATGTGGCAGGGCTCAGGTTGCATTGCAGCAGGTGGTCTGTAGTTTGCTCTTCTCCACACTCGCATGTTGTGGATTTTACTTTGTAGCCCCATTTCTTAAGGTTAGCTCTGCATCTCGTGGTGCCAGAACACAGTCTGTTCAGCGCCTTCCAAGTCGCCCAGTTTTCTGTGTGCCCAGGGGAGAGTCTCTCATTTGGCATCAGCCATTGATTGAGGTTCTGGGTTTGAGCTGCCACTTTTGGACTCTTGCTTGCTGAGGTGTTCCAGCAAGTGTCTCTGTAGATCTTAGAAAATTATTTCTTGATTTAAGTCATTGACGTGCTGTCTGATATCCAAACAGGGGATGAGCTGGAGATGTCACTGCCATGGTCCTTTCACTATTGGTTGCTACTTCCCAGTGGATGTCAGGTGGTGCAATACCGGCTAAACAGTGTAATTTTTCCAGTGGTGTAGGGCGCAGACACCCCGTGATGATGCAGCATGTTTCATTAAGAGCCACATCTAATGTTTTAGTGTGGTGAGATGTGTTCCACACTGGGCATGCGTACTCAGCAGCACAGTAGCAAAGCGCAAGGGCAGATGTCTTCACTGTGTCTAGTTGTGATCCCCAGGTTGTGCCAGTCATCTTTCGTATGATATTATTTCTAGCGCCCACTTTTTGCTTGATATTCAGGCAGTGCTTCTTGAAGGTCAGGGCACAGTCCAGAGTGACTCCCAGATATTTGGGTGTGCTGCAATGCTCCAGTGGGATTCCTTCCCAGGTAATCCTCAGAGCTCGGGATGCTTGTCTGTTCTTGAGGTGAAAAGCACATGTCTGTGTTTTAGATGGATTAGGGATCAGCTGGTTTTCCCTGTAATAGGCAGTAAGAACACCCAGAGCTTCGGAGAGCTTCTGTTTAACCATCTCAAAGCTGCCGGCATGACCATTTGCATAGATGAAACTCTCTGTCCCTTCTGGAAGCGACCAGAAGCATGTTTATTAATGCAATAGATACACACCCACACTGTATATCATGTCAACTCCAAGTTATAGCATCCCTAAGACTATTCTATCCTGGGGTTTACTCAGCAGGATTTATTCAGTGCTTTGCTATTGCCCTCTCTTAAAAGCTAAGAGGGTTTGACTGGTCCAAGACTACTCGGCAGGTTTCCATGGCTGAGTGGGGTGTGAGTTTTGTCAAACACTCAAATCATTATACAATACTACCTCTCACATCATCTTTGCATTTTACAGCATGGTATGGATAATTCTGATTTATCATGCTGAAATTCACAGCCATACTAACGGATTACACACATGAGCTAAGCAACAGAGTTACTCCTTTTTCCCAGATGCAATAGATTCTTCAGTGAGTAGGTTTATGATCACTACTCAATGGCTGTATCATAGCTGAAGTTTCTTTGATATTAAGCATTAAAGCATTATTTGGTATTAAGCACCTAAGTGTATCTTTGGACATTGAACTGGACCATATGATGATTGTTATGATAATGGAAATGGCTACTATGACTTTATAATTAATGTTATTGTTTTAATCTATTGTGTATTTTATGGTTTTTATATTATTGTATATTGTGATATTGTGGCATCGAATTGTTGCCAGTGTTAGCTGCTCTGAGTCCCCTCTCGGGGGTTGAGAAGGGCGGGGTAGAAATGTTGTAAATAAACAAATAAGTATCTTATCCAAATGGATTTTCTACTTTAGGTGAAATTGTAATGTTCAGTTATATCTTTGTTGCAACCATGATATGTTTAAGAAATATGTCATGGAACATTCTGCTTGGGCCAATAGTTAATGCTTTTAATAATCAACCAGACATTTCTGATGAAGCCAAAAAGAAACTACTGTGGGGCAGAAAAAGCCAGGTGTGTAATACTATTTTCCTGGCTCATAACAATAATTTGTAATTAACCATAAAGTTAATCCAGCATTGGATAGCATATATTCTGATATCCACAAGATCCTCTGAATTAAATATTGTTCTGTGAAGAATCGTCACATAGTCTGAAACGACTGCAGATAACATCTAATCGAATGCTAAGTTCATGCTCCACAATGTAGGATGCAAGTACAGAATCCTTCACATATAGTCATCCAGACTGTTTAAATATCTCGAGCAAAGAAAAGCACATAACCTTCTGAGAGTTTAGCCCTCTATTTAAACCATTAGAAAGTTTCTCCTGCTGGGAAACCACTTTTATCTTTCCTCTTAAGCGTTTCTTCTATGCTAAACCTATCCAGCACTTTAAACTCTTCCTTACAAGACTTTACATTGAGGCACATCACCATCTGGACATTTCTTTCTAGACATGGTGGAACATACTAGTATAATATTGACAGCGTGTTAGGGATTTTAATTCCATTACATATTGACTGCCTAAGGTAAATTTACAATGTAGCATTTTTCTATTATATAAGTATTTTTTTAAAAAAAAATCAGAAAAATCACCCAACTTTCATTTGACCACAGATAAGAACCAGTGTTTTATTATTCTTCAAGATATGTGAGTTTCAGTTAAGTTTTCCAGAACAGCAACCAGACACATGAGAATCAAAGGCAATAGGAAAACAAATGCCTTACAACTTCAGACTAATGCTACCATGCAGAATTTTTCCTTTGCTATGTATTCATCAAGCCATTCTCTACTGGTTTATGTGCCATGCAACAAATGCACAGTTCCTTCTAGTTAGCACAATTCCATCTAAAGTGCAGACATTCCCCCATTCTATAAGACAGAGGTATGTTTAGCATAGAAAAAAGTACTTATTCATCACTTCTGACAAAATGTTTGGCTGCACTTATACTGGACATGTTTCACCAATCACAATAATCCACCGCAATGCAGTGACAATTTCTTTAACAACTCAAGCCATTTTTCCTAGTAATTTTGCAAAAACAAAAACAAAAAACCCACAATCAGGCAAAACTTGCAGCAAACTTCAAAAGCAGGTGAGTGAACAGGTTTGCATTTTAACAGGTGGAAACATGTTCTCACCTTGAGGTTGGGTTTTGACAGTAGTCTTAAGAGTTCTCTGATCTCGTTGTTCAGCGGTTTGCTTTGCAGCTCCTCAGCCAACTATGAAGGTGATTTAAGTGACACAAAGAACATTAGCAAGAGCATTGTTTCACTGAGTCAGTGACAACCAAGAATCAATCTTGTTCAAGGTTATTACTTTCCAGTGTGTTCAGCATGAAGAAAAACAGACTATCAATCCTTATTCTTCATTTCTTTGGTCCTTATGCTAAATTCTGGCCAGGGCTTTCAACTGAGATTGACTAAAGTAATCATATCTGGCAACAGTACACCCAGATCACATTCTGGTTTATAGCAATGAGGGCAAATCCCAGCACTTCATCTAAAGCGAATGGTCCTTTGCGTGCAAACAAAGGGCTGGTTGTAAAAATGACTGGATCAAACCTTGACACTGCCTATAAAAAACAGCTTCTGAATGAAGTGGTGAAATCCACACTGCTTCCAAAAAGCCACAGTAGCTCTTATGTTTAGGGCTGGGATAAGGAACCAGAGAGCCCTCATAGAGCTAGTAGCCCAAATTTTATTATGTTTACATACAAAGAGCAAGCAGCCTGTTAAACGTCAAAAAAGTTAATAATAGTAACATGACCTCGATCAGATTACCAGATATTCAAGCTATTGCTAAAGACTGAAAAATGAACTTCAGCAACAAGCTCAATTTACACACCCTGTACCACAAAGCACAAATCTTGCCAATGGAATAATTGAATAAAATACCAAAATTCCTCATCATTCATTTGAAAATAAATTTTCATGTTTAAATAATACATTGTAGTACTGCACATTTCAGTGCGAAAGTAACTTTCAAATAATATATATTTACTGGAGTTGGGTGTCATTCTCTCAACAGTGTACAAGAATAAATGTCACACAAAAATTTTGTGCATGTCATTAATCTACATGAAATTAGAAGGCAGCAACCAAGGCTAAAAGCACTGTACCAAAGGCTTCCCCTAAGTGTGCACCACTGTACCAAACGTACCTAAACTTTCACCTAAATCAGTTTAACTTGCTTCTTTTAAAAAATCCTGTCTACCTCAAGTTTTGTCATAGTTTACACAGGTGTGCACACAATTCATCAAGGTTGTAGAATTTAACATATAATAGAAAAAAAGGCAGGCTCGATTTTTATTAATAAAAATTATAGTAACAGGAAATTAAATACTCTATCAATGCCAACGGGTCGAATTTTATTTTTTAGTTATGAAAGTAATTTGGAAAGCTTTAATGTATTATAAATCTTTGCTTCTTTTTAAACTGTTATTTTTTGACCACCCCTTCCTATATCTTTCATAAGGTTAATTTCTTTTAGTTTTATCAGTCGTTTTTCTTACTCTGTCAGCACTTTAGCTATCTCATTCACATTTAGCTTTGGAAAACATTCCTCTTGTCTGACTCTTGTAACAAATCAGTAGCTAACAGCATCACTTTCAGTGTAGACTTCTAACTCATATTTTTATATGGTACTAAAGCAGAACAAGAGCCTATCTAGATGCTATGTTATTAGAACAGTAACACTGCTAATAAAAATCAAAACAACATTTGCAATCCTGCGATGACAACTCTTTGGAAACCTCTGCACATCTAGCTAACATGGGCCTATTCATATAGTTGCTCTATGTTTTCCTTCCAAACAGTTTAGGGAAGTATGGTGCCAATGGTCTCATCAGGGACACTTACATCATCTGCCAAGGCTGATGCTCCATGCAACATGGGCACAGGGCTCTGCTTTTCATAGTAATGCAGTTTCTCATGAATCTAGGAAGAATGGAAGAATGTAGTTTACTTAGCAGTAGAAGCAGAGTGACAACATAAGCTGGCTAGTTAAACAACTCCAAAGAAATACCCTCAGGGAAGCATTTAGTAGTGAACATGTAGATATAATTCATCATCAGCTTCTGGTGAAGTGCTGAGTGCATGAAGTCAGAAGGAAAAAATGTTCAGTATGTAGACCAACCAACAGAAAAACTAAACATTTGCTATTTTCCCCCTTTACTTTGATTTTCTGTGCCTGTGTTTCCCCACTTATTCAGATTTGGTAATATTCTGAAAATGAAAAATCTGCAATGTTCATTTTGAAAAGGGCCATAAATGAAGTACACCAAGCTATTTATGAAGCCATATTTCACCACACACATTTTAGCTATATCAATGTAAAGTGAATAGTAATAATTTAGTTCTAATACTGAGAGGAAGTCCCACTGAACACAGTGAGTTATCTGAAAAACCAATATGTTTCTGGAGTTTTATTACTTATGTCACAACAAGTTTCTTCCACATAAATTATATTTCATAAGGTTTAACATTTTTGGACAAAACAGGTAAGATGATGATGTGAACAATTCACTTTCCCCCAAACCTTTAAAAACATACATGATAATACATGACATACTGGGATAATACGACAGTGTTTATATGCAGTTGTTGCCTTCAAGTCATTTTCAACTTATGGTGAACCTAAGGTAAACCTATCAGGAGGCTTTCTTGGCAATATTTGCCTCTGCCTTCCTCTGGGACAGAAAGATTGTGACTTGCCCAAAGTCACATCATCAAATGGGAATTCAAACCCGTCTCCAAAGTCATACATAGTCCAATGTTCAAATTACTATGAAAAGTTCCCTCTATTATATTGTTGCTTTGTGCCTTCGAGTCGTTTCCAAATTCTAGTGACCCTAAGACAACTGCATCACAAGCTTGATTTGTTCAGAGGGAGGTTGTCTTCCTCTGCAACTGAGAGTATATAACTGGCTCAAGGCTACCCAATGGATTTCCATGGCAGACTGGGAATTCAAACCCTGGTCTACAAAGTCATAGTCCAATTCCCAAACCATACTTCTTTTTCAGTGTTTATCCTGCTTGATCGGGGTCTGCTGTATTGGTTTGCTGTCGCTATTTTACCTAGTCATGCACCTGATAAGGGTGTATTCCAGCAGTCTTCAGATCATTGTGCAACATGTCCAGCCAGCATTGCTTTGGTCGTTCCTTTGGTCTCTTGCCGTGTACTTCTAAGTCAAGAGTAATCTTACAAATGGACTCATCTTCACCTCAGAGAGTATGACCATACCTTCTGAGGCACGATTCTTGTAGTTTGTCAGCAAATGGGGCAATGCCAAAGCGCTGCCAGATGTCATTGTTGCAGATGTAGTCAAGACGTGTGATGCCAGATGTAAATCGTAGCATCCTCATCTCCATAACACCAAGGTGGCTTTCTGTTTCTTTAGTTGCTGGCCAACATTCAGCTCCATATATAGCGGCAGCCCTTATGAGAGTTTAATAGATTTTTGATTTCAAGTGATCAAGCATCTTCTTGTCGCAGAGTACATGTTCCGTCTTCCAGGAGCTTGGTTTGTATTGCCCTTTAGTTGCTTGAAATAGCATCCCTTTGCATTTCCCCCCAGTTTTAGCAGCACCCTGGAAGTTAATTATTAACAGAGGCTGAAAGCCAGCCTGCAGGCCCTTGCAGCTATTGGTTTAAAAAAGAATATTTTGGTCTAGAGACTTCCCTTTTTCTTGGGGATGAGATCTCCAGCCTCTAGTTCAGGGATGGGGAATCTATTGCACTCTTGCTTTAAATAATAATAAAAAAATCATATCATTTTTTATTACTGGCTAATGGGAATTCACCATCATCTAAAGTCCAGATGAAAATAATAATAATCTAAATTCTAGAAGATCTAATAAATGTATGGAGCCACTCACAAACATGTCATAGTATTACAAGTCTGGTTCCCACACAAAACAGACAATGATCTTTCACAAACTTTTCCAGGCATTTTAAAAAGTCATCTAAGAAAATAACACCTTGAAGAAAAAAATATTTTATATGAAGCCATCCGGCAGTGAACCTGGACTTCATTGTAGGGCTATCAATCATTCCTCTTAATCATCAGAACAATTTGTGTATATTTACTCAAAAGTGCATCCCACTGTCTTCAATGGTATTAAATCCTAGGTAATTATGTAATAGCATAGCCTTAAAGCTTTTATAGCTTTCATTATTCCTTCCACACCATTCTTAAAGCTAGGACAATCAAGTCTCTATAAAACATCTTGTATAATAATACCAAATGACTTCATACTTTGTATAGTATTAATAACCCTGCATTCTCCTCTCTGCTACAGTATTCCAGGCTGGCATTTTCTAATGAGCTTTCCACAGTATCTCTAAGTTATCTTTTCCTAGTGGCTCATGACTAATTGTGAACTCAATAATGTCTACTCAGAATTGTGTCTGCTAAGGGGCACAACTTTCCACATGCTTTAGCTAAATCTCATCTTTCACTGGGTTTTCCAATAATTCAACTACTGAGAGATCCTTTTCAAACTCTTTAGTCTCCTCACTGCCCTGAATCACTTGCAGCCAATTGTAGACTTCAGTACCTTGGTATTATATCCTTACTTCAAAACGCGTCTGCACAAGTTAAACAACACCTGTTCCAAAGCAAAACCTTGGGGAACCACACAGCTGATTCCTCCAGTGTGAAAACGATTTAGGTCTTACCCCATGTTTCCTCTTTTTTAACCAATTGTCACTCCATAGTTTTCCTTTTAAAGACATTAATAATGAACTATTGAATGTTTTGAAGACTTACTCACTCAATCTTTTGTTTACCTACAAAAAAAAACCTAAATAGTTAAAGAAGCTTCAGAAAAAAATATTCATATGTATGTCCAGCAATTAAGGATGCTTTTGATCAGATCCCCTCAATTAAGCTGTAAACCAGTCTTCCATTAACTGGTTTCTGTTCAGTGGTACATCAACTTCAGTGTCAAGTTCTTATAAACTTCTTGACAAATGCCATTTAAGTCTGATGATGGTTTGTTCTTCAGTTCTAAAAATACTTTTTTCATTTCTCTCTATTTGAACATTTTTCACAGTAAAAATACAGGCAAAAGTTAATTTAGCTTTAATTCCGCCTTTAATCCTTATAATTAGGGTGACTGTTTTGGCTGTTTATAACTTCATTTTGTGTAATGTGACTTTAGAACTATTTTAAAAGGTTTTTTAAAAAAAGAAGCAACGTGTTCTGGTAACTTATTTGTTTTTTAGATGTTTTTATCCATTGTACATAACCTCAGGGGCCTTGGGGTGCTGAAGGGCAAAAATGAGTAACTAAATAAATAAATACATAAATCTGAAAGTTCCTCTACCTCTGTAAGTTTTAACAGAACAAATGTCAATATTGGTTATAACCCCCCTTTACTCTGCACAGTTATATGATTTTCTTTTTTTTTTTTTTTAAATGTGATCTTTATGAAAGAAGGTTTTCTTCTTTGGTATCTTTGTTTCTCAAAGATCAAAATAAAGCAACTATTATTTTAAATTTCAGAAGCTTCATTCAGTTGAATCTTTTCAGTTAATAAGTAAGAAAGGGTTTTGATGTCTTTGCTTATAGAAAGAGATCCCCTTCATGGGTAGAGGAAATTCAGATTAAAGCCAAACAAGTAACTCTTCCTCCAAGATAAATTCGTCTGCACCTTTAGAGCCAAATTCCCTGTACAGCTACTGCAGAAAGAATTTCTAAAACTGGATTAGGTTTTGTTGTGAAGTGTAATCTCGGGTTTCTAAGATTTTTTTTTACACTTCAGTACATTCTGAGTGGGCTGAATTGATCTACTATTTGAGATGAGTACAAGGGGGGCAACTAATGTGTTCTTATAAGTACCACTTTACATAACACAACCTTGCCTCCTCTAAAACCTTTAGGTCCCTTCAAAAGATTTGCTGAAATACCATATTATCTCTATTCAAAGATTCACCAAGTCAAAATACACATATTCCTTGTCAAACATACAAAGAAATGTGATATCTAAACTATAAATTAATACTGTTGCATGGATCCACCAACCTAACATCATAAAGTGTTCCGACATGGAACATATGGGATGAGGCTGATATTCTAGTACCAAGTTATTTAGGACTTTGTGAATAACCATCGGTACCTTGAATTGAGCTCAGAAACAGATTGGAAGCTGTGTAGGTCTTGTATAACTAGTGCTATATGGTCTCTTGACAGCAGTTTGGATGCTACATTTTGCACTAGCAGAAGGTTCTGAACTATTTACTACGAGTTATAACCAGAGGTTGTCATGTGGTCTACAGTCAATGGGCAGTCTTGGATGCCCTATGTGTGACCCCTGAGACCCCACTGCCCAAACAGGATCTGCAAAATCCTCAGAGATCCCCCAAAACAAAAAGTGGTCTGATTTGAGGATTTTTGGCCACCCAAAATATTCCATATCTCCATAAAAAGGTAATAATTTGCTTCCTCCCCCAAAACAGGGTGATAATCTGCCAAAACAGCAGTTTGGATTAACATCACATCACTTCAGGCATCCTGAAATGCATGGCTGAGGTCTGCTAGGTAGGGGCAGAGAGGAAAAATGGTCCCTGCCCTGTTAGCAGTTTCCCACCCCATTGTAACAGATTAATTGGTCACTGGCCAGTAATTTGTTTACAGGTACAATTCAATGCTGACTATCATCTAAAAGCTCTTTGTCTTGAGATCTGTATTTCCCATAGAACTGTCCAAATTGAGATTTTGTGAAGGAGCCCTTCTTTTGGATCCATCACCCTTACAAGCACAACTGCCATCCTGAGATATTGTCTTTTTGGTGGTAACTTCTTGCTGTGGGATTTTTTGTCAAAAAAGGTTAGGTTAGTTCCTTATCTGTTCTCCTTCTACACCCAGGCATAAATGTTTTTTTATCATCCATACTTTTGGAAACTGCCTGCCTGTTAACTAGTTAATTGTGTT